TGTCTGTCCTCTACTGTTGGGGGCCTTCAGATTGTGCTAGCACTGGAGCTGCTTGCCTCATTGTTGTCCCAGGAAACAGGGATAGAGAGGATGATGTAGGTGGAGGACAGCATCAGACAGACAAGTGCCTGCTTGCAAACACATTAAATTCATGTCCATGGACACACTTGGACCCCAGATCTTTACCAGCAGACACACTCATGCAGGCCAAGCACAGGCACACATTCCAACCTGTGGATCCTGTCGTTAATCTGGTAGAAGATCATGCTGACTTACAGCAGTTTGACAATACATTTGTGGTAATTAGAACTGGACCTGCATCTCAGGCTAGAAAAGTGATTCATAGGATCCAGCTGCTGCGTTTATGCACCAGTGCTGGGGCCAGCCATTTGACCCCCGCCAATGGTGACCACTGTCTCCTTCTCACACTTCCCCAAATGTTTGAGTGGAATCTAGACATGTAGTCACAAAGTTTAGCCAGCTCCTGAGTGCTTTGTCCTAGTGTAATCTCTTACAAGTCRTATCTGTTGCCCTTCAAAGGGCATGCAGAGGCACCAACAGTTGAACTTTCCTTATTAACTGRCAGGGGAATGCTTTTCCCATGTGATTCAGTACCACAGGGAAGAATCAYGCATTTGGGGCTAAAGTTAGGAATCCAAGTGTGCAGTTTTGGGCATCAAAATACAAGAAGGCTCTAAAGCTATTAGAGACTATCCGGAGGAGGCCACAGAGATGAGGAAGGGTCTAGAGGGGAACAGTATGAGTAACAGTTGAGGGCACTTGCCTTACTCAGATTGAGCCTGGAGAACATTGAGGAGAGACCTTATAGGGTAGACCTCCCCTGAGGGAAAGCAGAGGGGCAGTTCTGCTCTCTGCTCTCTGGGACCAGGGACAGGAGCCAAGGGAATGGCAGGAGCTGTGTCATGGGGGTTTGGAATGAATATTAGGAAAAAGCTCTTCCCCCAGAGGGTGGTTAGGCACTAAACAGGCTCCCCAGGGAATGGTCATGGCTCCAAGGCTGCCAGAGCTCCAGGAGTGTTTGGACAATACTCTCAGGCACAGGGTAGGATTGTTGGGGTGTCAGTGCAGGGTCAGGAGTCAGACTTGATCCTCAGGAGTCCCTGCCAACTCAGGATATTCTAGGATTCTGGGATTTCACWGACTTTTCTTCCCTGTCTTCTCTATTCCAAGTACTCAAGACAAATTTCTCATTCACTGTGCCCTGCCAGGACTATGACAGGTCCCATGAAATCAAACCAGCAGCCCTTTGAAATTCAGGCACAGAATATTTATTATGTGATTAAGAACYTGGCACTGAGTGGCAAGTGTATCACATCTTTGTGTACATCATTTGAACAGAAGCAGTTGTGACACAGAGCACAGTGTAAGTTCTGCTTGCCCTCCCTCACCCCAAAACCAGGCAGCGGCAATCCCAGGCTATCACTGACCAGTTTAGGATATTATCTTCCCCTGCCAAATACCCAAGTAATTATTTTGGTTCTGGAAACCTCAGGCTGTTTGAGAATACTAGAGGAAGGAGCTGGATGGCTTCCTCCTAGGCAAGTAGATCTTTCTCTTGTAAAAAGGCTTGTGAAGCAAAGCCGTGACTCTCCATCTCTTTCTCTGAGAGTACAGAAACATTTACATGGTGTTACCTGCATATTTCACTCTGACATCACCGATGGCTTTGACACCTCTGTCCAGGCTGTAAGCAGATGGGGTCTTCAGGAAGCCAAGGCCTGTGGCCATCAGCTTCCTGGAGAAAGGCTTGACTGATGTGTGCCGAGGACTGTGGTGAACCCACAACTCCTTTGTGGTGCAGAAGGAGTAATTTGCAGGAGGACTGCACTGGATCCCCAAATCTTTAATGGTGCAGTAGGTAACCTCAGGCCACAACTCTACTTCCTTGATCGTACAGAATACGGGGCGCTGGAGGGGGCTGTTGAAACTGCTGAGATGCATCACAGGGCTTTCTGCTGRCTCCCTCCATCCCAGCAGTGGATACTGCACCTCTCGGGTCTGCAGGGACTGGAGCCATGATTGTCCCACCAGACACATCCATGCCAGCCAGCCTGCTAGAGCCAGCACGGTCAGGATCAGCAGAGCCAAGGAAGCCAGGCAGAGCACCCAGTGCAAGAAGCAGCAGTGCCTCAGCACCCACTGCCCCCACTGCRGAGCCTCCTCACCTGCCTGCAAAYGCAGCACAGGTACAGCCCGTCCTGGGAGGGAGCATGGGCAGAGGGGAGGAGGAGCAGGTACGGGGGAACATGCAGGTTGGGTGAARTGTGTGGTGTCCAGGGGAGGTGGTGGTGTTGGGGCATGAGTGGAAAGCATGGTGTTGGCCGACATCGGAGGAGGAGATTGAGATCTAACAATGGAAGAGGCCTCTAGCATGGCAATAGAAGGCACTGCTGTGGAAGTGGTGGGCAATGTGCCAGTGGACCCCATGAGACTGGCATAGGTAGTGCTGGCAGCAAGGGTGGTATGGGGATATCCACTGGTGCTAGGAGGGCTGCTGCTCATCGTGGTTGGCAGTGAGGTGGCAGAGTCAAAGGTGGAGGGTCTTTGCAGGACGATGGTGGTCGCAGCAGTGAAAATGGTGGCAGTGCTGGGGGTCTGTGTGGGTGTCGTGGTGGGACTGGCTGGTRCAGGAGTGGTGGTGCTGGGAGCTCTGATGCTTGTTGGGGAAAGAGTGGAAGTACAAGGGCTGCTGAAGGAAGGTCTGGTGAGGGCAGGAGGGAGGCCAGGTGAGGTAGCAGTACTGGGCATGGTAGTGTGCTCTTTGGGGATGAATGGATGTGGCAGAAAGGTGGTAATGGTTGTCTTTTCCATTATTTCTTCATCATAATTATATTCATCGCCTCCTTCCTCATCTATATCCAACACATTGCTGCAGTTGAGCTTGAGGTGAATGATGGGCTTCTGCTGATGCTCAGCAGGGCTGTGGCACACTACCTTCTCRGGTGCAACCTCTACCTTTGTTTCCTCCAGGCCCCGCTCGTGCTGATAAACACTGTTAGAATTCTGGTTGATCCAGATCTGCAGGTAGTACAGGTCACAGTCGCAACGCCAGGGGTTGTCTGTGAGGAAAACATACATGAAGAGGCGYCCCTTTGGGAAGAAGCCGATGGGCAGGCTCTGCAGGCGGTTCCCTGAGAGCCAGAGCGTGTCCAGCTTTTGCAGGTCCTGCAGCAACTCCTTGGGYAGGTCCTCCAGGAGGTTGTCTGAGAGGTCCAACTCCTTGAGTGCCCTCAGCCCTKCAAAGGCCTCCTCGGGCAGCTGCCGCATCTGATTCCCTCGCAAATCCAGGTCCTGCAGCTGTGGCACTGTGTGGAAAGCCTTCGGGGCCAGTGTTGTCAGGTTGTTGTGGGCCACAGCCAGGCGGGTGAGCGCAGGCAGGCCCTGCAGGTCAGGTAGAGACCGCAGCTTATTGTGGGAGAGGGTCAGCTCCTTCACGGACGGCAGCAGGGCCCCGGTGTCCAGAGACTCCAGCTTGTTGTTGGCCAGGTCAATGTCCTGGAGCTGGGCMAGAGGCAGGAAGGCGGTGGTGGAGAGGGACACCAGGCGATTGTCACTGAGCAGCAGRATGCCTGTGTCCACAGGCAGGTGAGGGGGCACTCCATCCAGAGCCTGCCCCGTGCAGTTCACCTCCAGGAGATCCTTGACCTTGTTCATCTCGGAGGGACAGGGCTGGGCTGGGGRCAGCAGGGCTGCCAGAGTGACCACGATAAGGACAGGGATCTGCATGGCCTGGAGAGGGAGAACCGAGAGGTGTGGGTGCAAGCAGGCATGCACCTACACATTGCCTTTCTTCMAGTGCAAGCCATTTGCAGCAGAACTGACATCCCCTGCTAGACCCTCCGGCACCCTCTGAGCTCTGCAGCTCCTCCCTGGGATGGTGGAAGGGAGAGATAAATCCCACATGTACTGCCATCTTGTTCTTGGCAAACAGCAGATGATACTTTGGCCCTTTTGCTCGCCTTGTTCTCTTCCCTGGTGGGGAGAACATGGCTCATCAGCCTGCACACAGCAATGCCTTCTCCATTGGGATGGTATTGCTGCCCTCACCATTGTAAAATCCACACCTCTGCAGTGTTCATGTCCCAGAATACCCACACCCGGTCCAACACAGACAAATTGTGTGCCAGAAGAATGTCTCCAAACTAACTTACTCTTTTACCCAACATCAGCTTAATCCTCTGCCAGATTTGGAGGGCAGGAGCATGAATCATGTGAAAGGAGCTTCCTGTGCACGGATATGGTTCCCATAAGCATCCAGGCCCCTGTGAACACTGACTCACCTGCAGAACTTCCAGCGTTTGTTCTCTCGCTGCTCTGCCTCCTCCTGCCCACCACCCAGGCAGTGCTCTGGGGCAGTGCTAGCAGGGATCTGCCCAGCTCTTTATCAGCACCCRCAGCTGTGGGAAGGGAGCTGTGGTTTCCTGAGCAGCCAAACCCATCTCCTGTCCTTTTGCATAGCCCTCACTTGGACTGCTCTGCCATATCACCATCTTTCCTTGCAAAATGCCAACAAGGATCAGCAGGCATTCCCCCAGCAGCAAATGGTCATTGCCCACTGCAGCCTGCATGGATACTGGTTGTTCTGCTGCTCAAGCCAGTTTTCCCCTTAGTATTTGCAGCAGAAAGAGCGCTTGCAGAAAATAATTCCATTGGCTTCTTGAGAGGAAATGGGCAAGAGCATCGGCCACGGCTTCTGAGRAGGGCCTGAGGTGGTAATAAAAGGACTCCATGCCCGTGATGCTGGAGAAGCTCTTGCATCTGGACACAGACCCAGCTGGACCAGGATGCCTCAAGGCTCAGGATATCTCTTGCTGTCCATGATAGGAGTGGGATGAGCTGAGGTTCTCCTTCCCTAGCAACTRTAGTTTAAAACCCTCTTCTCCAGATTGCTGTTCCAGATTGGCAAGCCTGTGAGTGAAGATGCTYTTTGCCTTCACTCTGACAGAGTGGACAGACAGATGACAGATGGACTCCATCTGCACTCAGCAGACCAGGCTGTTCAGAGCAATCCAACTGTCTGAAGTAGCCAAACCCCTGCTTGTGGGGCCAGTCCTGTAACAGTTTGTGGATTCCCCAGATTCAAGTGTCTCTTTTGAACCCCTTCCCTTTGACTGGGAAGATGAAGAAAAAACAACCTGTGCTCCAGAATCAGCAGATGCTGCTCCCAGGGCTCTATAATCCTTCTTGATGCTGCTCAGACTGCTCTTGACTGTATTACTGGCACCCACATGAAACAACAGCAGCAGGTAATGGTAATGGACTGTGCAAAGCATGGTAGTCYCTCAGTGACATCTCTGAGTCCATGGTAAGCAGCATAAACTAGAGAGTGCAGCAGGTCAGTAAATAGTGCCTCTGTACCTCTCAAAAGATATAGAGGCACTATTAGTCTCTTCTTATTTGTGCTGATTTTTATATGGGGAGCAGATTATGCTGCCTTACTTGTTGTTATAAGGGGAGTAGATAGGGCTGCCTCACTCATCTCCAGTGCCTCTCCTGCTTGGTCATTCCTGCAGATCAGTGAAAAGTTCTGCAAGAGCATCTCTGGCTTTGGGGGAAGACTGTTCTTCCTGCAGGTCCTTGCTGTTCTAAGTTTCCATTCTTCACATCAGCCATTCTCCCTTCTGTGTGTGCTTTTTTGGTCCTCTTCCCTTCCCTGTGTGTCACCGGGGGAATCTCTTGGTGTTTGGTTTTGGGCTGTGAGTCTGCTGCAAATCGTGCTTGGAACCAGCACACTCTCTCCTTGGGAAAGAACTCTTTCTCAGCCTCCCTGATACTACACAGCCTGTYCATTGCCTCTTGCCTGTCTCAGGGMCTTGCCWCAGGTGCTCCTCCACCTGGACACATCTTTTTCAGGGAGGYCTGAATAGAAATATCAATTCACTTCCTGCAATGAGAGATCCACACGGCAGCCTCTGCATTTGGCAGCTCTGTCTGGATGGAGGCACTGGTGGTAACCAGGGTGGATGGTGCAGACCTCTGCATTGGAGTTGCAGCCTTTGCTATTAAAAGAATGTGCACCATTCTGCCTTGGGAGTCAGGCAGGAGAAATGTCTTCAGCCTGTCCAGATGGTCGCTGGAAGACAGAGATTAGATGCAAGTAAAAAAAGGTATGTACAGTAACTACAGTGGGGTACTCATCTGCAGAGGCACTTCCCTCTGCCATGGTRTCTTAATCTATAATTAGAAGAAAYGGAGTTTGAAATGATACCTACAYTSACAAYAGCAATTGTAATGSCATCTGTGTCTGTCTACAAGGCACCTGTTACTTAATCTTGGAAWAGAAATTGTTCTTAATAATATTCTTGCCTTCTTTTAGTTCTATTTGTCTTTTTTTTACTCTCCCTTGTCCAAACAAGGGTCTTTGTAAACTGAGACAGGAGGTGTCATTTTAACTAGAGCCTCCAATTCCCAGGTTTTTTTTCTTTTTAGTTTTCATTTTTACAGTCAGATAAACCCTGTCCTCTGGCTGTTCCATTTCCTAGACCCAATTGTTGGGGTCTAGGAATTTTTCTAATTTTTAAATGAATGGTTTTAATCAACTTCTAATTATTAAAAAATAATTATAACCAGTATATAAACTAAAAGTAGTGTGTTAGTCTTAAATCACTTTTTGCAAGCATGTAGCAAAGTTGTCATATGCTCCTTGTATGGGAACACAGCTTGGAAAATTACTGAAATGTTATATTTCACTGAACTAACTCTGATATGTTTCAATGAAAAAGGCCTTGTTGAAGCTGGACATCTAGAATGCAGAATTTATGACCTACGAGACCTTTTGCAGAAACCAGAAGATAAACAGGAGAGTGACAGAGACTCAGTTGGAAAGTTCCTACTGGAGGAAAAAGATACTACAAAGACTAAAAATAGGGACAAATTAGCATAAGAAGCAAGAAATCAACAAATAATAGAAGATAGAGTGCAAATTAATGAAAGAGAATTATGTAATTTAGAGCCAATGAACATGAATTTTTGTTTGCTAACAATATATAGAGAAGTAAAAAAGTTTTGTATCAATGTCTGTATGGAGGCTGGAATTTTATTGGCACGCACACCCGTCCAGACCAAGAATAATGTAATGCCTTACTTGTTAACACTGAAAAGACAGTGTTACAGGGTTTTATTTATCCCAACAATGTTGAGGGATTTAGTAGCACAAGGATAGCAGAAGCATGCTGACAAATAGCRCTGGCTTGCCCCTGTTTTTTCTGTTTTATATATTGTCTGGCTCACATCTGTTTGCCCACTGCTGAGGTAGTGGTGTCACTGCAAAATGAAAGTGCAGAGTGTGTTCTCTGGTGGGGTTTGGAGATACAAACACTGGCTCCACTGCAGTTGTTGGTGGCTCCTTATCCTCTTCTGCAAGAGAGTAGGGCAAGGCTGTAGTCAGGTCCAKGTTGAAGCTGCTTAAGTGTCAGAGGCACTGAATGGGCTTCTTTTGGTCCTGTCCAACAAATGCAGTATGGGCTGTGAGTGTGTTGTAGGAATCATTTCAGCTGGAGCTGTTGCTAGGCCAGCAGCAGGGTGGAGGGGCATTGCTGGGTCTCTYCTCTCTGTGATCCATGGTGTGTCCTCCTGCCAGCAACCAGAAAAGAGCCTGCCTGAAGCCTCACATAGCTCTGATGGGCTGTACAAAGCCCTGGAGCCTTCTGCCTGGGCAGTGAGTGCTTGTGCATCCTTCCCTTGTAGCAGTGTCCCCCACTGGCTGATGTCTCTCCTGTATTATAGGGGAGGGGAACATGTYGTTGTGGAGGGGGACAAACCCCATRCATGGTGTGGCATTGAGTGTATTTGGTCTGAGCAATGCTGAGCCCTGATGTTCTGTAYGTGTACATTCTGTTGTGGTCTCCACAGAATTGTGCAATGCTRTTAACACATTCAACAGGATCTGCCATGTTCAATGCATATGGAATGCTATAGGTAGCACTTGTGTCTGTTAGGAAAATTAATCCACAAACACCAGAGGTTCATGTCCAAAAAGGAGACAGAGGAGTCCYGTAACTTTAATCAAATAAAGGGAGAGGCCATGGGACATTTCCATGGGRTCTCTCAAATCATTAATGGATGCAGCCTCCTTTTTATCCTYATTTCCCGGCTGCATTTCCCTCTGTCTTTCCCCAGTGGCTGAGGTACTGAGAGGTACAGACTTCCCAAATCATCTAATACAGACCTCCTTCTCATGTGCATTCCAGCTCCCCCCTGCCTTTGTTCTTTTGCATCTCTGCTCTTTTTCTCTCAGTCCAGGGATTTAGCACRGCCTTSGGTGAGTAACAGTCTGTGTCAATTAGTGGAATTCCTATGGATTTTATGGYTCCTCCCATTGCTYCTTTCACAAATCAGCATCTGGCTGYATCGACCAACAGGCMCCACCATTTGTTGTAAAGWCATCCCYCTCTCATTYATTTCATGTCCAACASCCCAGTGCAGAGAGCAKAGCAGATGCAGRTGTTGAAGKTTACGTTGCCATAGCAGACTATTRCAGAGGAGAAGAGCCATTGCAGAGGTAYCATTGCAGATGGAGACACCATTATAGACCCCACTGAAAATGCAGATGCTACGTCAGACACCAGTGCAGATGCAGAGCTGGCAGGGAACAGACTGGCCTGASTGAATAGAGAAATTTGGCTGGAACTTAGGGAGAAAAAGAGAGTTTATCACCTCTGAAAAAAAAGGCACAGAACTCAGGAGGACAATGATGATGTTGCGAGGTTATGCAAAGAAGCAAGTTA